AAGAATCATATTGTATTAATACAATCTTAGAATCCACATGAACTTAAACTAACACCATTAAAAGATTATCATGCCATAAATTTCTTCATAGTGGCTCTTCTTTCCATCAAATGAGTGTTCATTTTTTCAACATCGGGCTAAATTTAATGAGTTGGCTGTCTAATATAAACATATATCATTAAGAACACACAATTAAATCACTAAATCCAATCAAACAAATGAATCACATTGAACTAAAAATCAAATTTCAAAAAAAAAAAAAAAAAGCTCAACTGTACTAACATTGCCCAACAGATTTGCTTGTAGCTGCAAGAACAATTGATTTATATTCTCTTTCGCTATGACTTCTCGAATTCTAAAGAAATATTCCCACACTGCAATTAACCAAATTAATCAAAATTTCACCACTTCAAACAAAAAATTGATTTAACTGACCTTTTATCGTTTTAGTGTCTATTTTGCACTATTCAAGTATTCAAAAAAATATGAACATTAATTAGCAAGAAAAAAGTGATGCAAATAAGAAAAACAAATGTTACAGTTGATTTTGAATATTGTTACTTACGAGAATTGGGTATATGAGATAGAGAAAGTTATATGAGGGATGAGAGTCTTAGAGTTTTAAAAAGAATGAAAGTCCAATTATGATCGTTGGATCAATAATCCTTGAACGATCTAAGCCGTGAAAAGCCCAAAACAAACCATTTAGCTACTTTATTTTATAAATATATCACATTACATATATATTATTCGTCTATTATACCATTCGAATATTATAGTGTTTTTATTTCAATACAAAATATGACATATATTATAGTTATTTGACTCGTTTGGACGCAAAGAATATGTATTTAAAGTCCATTTGTTTATTTGAAATTTTTAAAAATAATTTTTAATTAGAATCATAATTTACGACCTAATTAATGTGTAGTATGAGATAGAGAGTTATAAGAGAGATAGGAGTAATAGAATTGTGAAAGGAATGAAAGTCTTGTTTAAAAACATTAGAGGGAGAGGAAATTTCGTATTAGAACCGTTGGATCAATATTTTTACAAATGGTTTGAACTACGCAAAGTTAAAGACAAACAAATATATCTACTTTATTATATATGAATATATATTAGATAAGCATCTTCAGATAAAGATTATTGCTAGCATTGCAGTCAAGGGATCAGTTGCTACACCATTGAGCAGTAGAATAGGAAAAATAGGGATTTAATTGCTACAGGATTGATCTGTTACTTATTGCTTTATTTTTGAAATTGTGTTCTTTATTTAATGTAAGTATTGAATTCGGATTTAATCAGGCCAAAGAGTCTTCGGATCTGGCCCACGTGTCTGTGAGAGGGAGGGAGAGAGAGAGAGAGAGGGAGAGAGAGAGAGAAGTGAACTGTGAGTAGCTATAAGGATAAGGGTTTGTTTGATTAGCAAGAAAAAGATTATGGAAAGTGAAAGAGATAGAAAGTAAGTGAAAGAAAAGAAAGTGAAAAAAAATATATTTTCATGCATGCATTTAGTTAGCACGAAAAATTTTGAAGAAAATTTTAAAATAATTTCATTCCATTGTGTGAAAGAAAGAAAAGTTACAAGAAATTTTTTTTAATTGTATAAATTATCCTTAATTATTTTAATTAGGTATAAAGAAGAAAAAATATTTTTTATTATTCAAAATTTTAAAAATTGTTTCCTAATTTAATTCAGGGACAAGAATCGACTCGAACCCTAATCTCTAGATCAAATTATATGGTTAACCTAATTTGTACAAAGTTTTTAAAATTAATATATAATTGAATATTTTAAGAAAAATAAGGGTAAAATGGGAAGTTAGGTTATTGAATACAACTTTCTTGTTTTTCCTTATGTTTTTTACAAGAAAAAAAAAGTTAGTTAGAAGTGAGAAAATCTAAGCATGGAAAAAAATTATTTTTTCTATTATTTTCAATTTCATGCTAAACATGTAAAATTTTTAAATTTTCTCTTGTATTTTTTAGTTGTATCTTGCTAAACAAACAAATCTTAAGAGAAAAGTGTAGAGGTAAGGGACATGTGGTGAGTTATAATATGTCCAGATGTATGGTAACTAACTAAGAGTGCGAGGGAGGGAATGTGAGCAGGAATCTAAAATTTGAGAATTTAATACTAGCCTTTGGATCATGGTTAGACAAATTTAGAAATAATCTGGATCGAAAAAAATAAAAGTTATTTTATTTATTTTTAAAATTTGAATTATATTTTACTTTATTATATAGATAGTTTCTAAAAAATTTTGTTATTGTTGTGGTTAGCAGTTGTTCGGTGCGTTATTGCATAGTGATCTTCAGTGAATAGATTGCAAGATGTTGGGGATTATAAGGAAAAATGTTAATGTTGGAGGTTTTTCTACCAAGGTAATACTGTGATGATTTTCTTAATATCAAAAGCGGTTCTTTGTCTCTTGTTTTTTGATTCAACTATTATCAAAATTGCAACAACTACTTTTTTTTTTTTTTTTTTAATTCAGATTCTGGGGCCTGGGGCATTGGCTCCGAGACATTACTTGTCTGCTGTGAAAGAGGTATATTTACCTGTAGTAAACTGTGTCATCATCTTAGTACATGTTACTCTTATAAGTTATAGCTCTAATAAGTTGGCGTAGAAATCTGGAGATTATATTTATACACATATGTCTGCCTGTGCATATACAATTTACATATATATAGATAGATACATAGAGAGAAATGTATGCAGTGGCGGATTTAGATACATAAATTTTGTGCTTTAGATTCGAATTCGGACTAATCGAAATTCTATCCAAATCTGCTCATTGATGATGCTCATTGATCGTTCTCTTCAACATAATTGTTGCCCCCCACAGTGAAGAACTACTGGCTCTGCCCCTGAATGTATGCAAAGTTAATTTATGTGGATGTGATATGACAAAGATTTTAGCTGAGCAAACCACCTCTAGATTCTGGTTGCTTTATTTGGCCTGATTCACATTTTCAGAAAAGGTAAATGTCATAAATCACAATAAGTGAAATGTTCAGTATCCAACTCCAAAATTCATTATCTTTTCCTTGGCTTTGTACGCCATAAAATTGAGTTGGGTTCTGGACATGCTGTGTAGAATACCATTACAATCTCCTAAATAGTTTTGTCAGATTCTTTATCCTTGATATATTATGGCTGATAGTTGTATTTGGTGCTTATTTTTACTTATGGAAATTATAACTTGTCACAGATGANTGGACCTTTTCGGACAGGCATTGCAACTCGAACAAACTCTTTGTCATTATTTTATTTATTTGGTCATGTGACGCCCCAAAATTTGGGGTTCTTTATCAACCTGTTAATCACCTATCAATTGTGCAATACTTGTGAATATCGTATAATCTGATAACATGTTGTTACACCCGATTCACTAGGATTGCAACAACAGAATTCGGGTAAAGTCTCATTTGCACAGAAACCCTTCCCAATACATAACCTCTGCATACATTAATCATACGATTATTCTAAGGTCTACATCCCAAGTCTAGGACTTAAAATTTAACCATTTACATCATCCAAACGATAGAGCTCAAGATTTGAAGGTTCACAAGTGTTTCAACAAAAAATTTAATTTTTCAGGAAGAGGTACCAGTACCTCTGATAAGAAGTACCAGTGGTACCGGTACCTGAACCCACTAAAAGCTATGTACCTATGAGGTACCAGTACCTAGGGCCCAAATTTTTCCAAATTTCTCAAATCTCAACTTTAAACCCAATAACTCATACAACATCTGTTGCATTCATTTGTTTACAAAAGAATAATTGGCCAAGAGTGTACCCTTACATGCCTTTATTAAAGTACAAGTTTTGTACATAATTTATACAAGTCCAAAACAAAATATGCAAGGGATTACAAAATGCCATTCAAGAGCCACAACTCGGCTCTGTCATCAACGCGGACCAAAGTGAGGGTCGTCCACTGAACCTTGTCTAACACTTGAAATATATACCCATAAAGAATGAGCCAAGCTCAATAGGATAACTTCTAAGGAGGGTACTCCCCAATCCAGATGCTTGTGCAATGTCACATGCAAGTCATCACATCAAGCATATATTGTAATCAACATATATACATATGTGCCAAACACAACAATCATGAATGATTTCTCATGAATGCATGTCCAAACTTCGAACCCCCTCCCAGATTCCTATACACAACATATGATACTATGCCATGACATGAACCGGGGCATTTCAAGCTCTTGTTATTGATGCTACACATCTAATGACCATTCATTACCTTTTGTGTCTTTGTTGGGTAAGTAATTTTTGGACATCACACTAACGGTCTATCACACTGGCACGACATTCGAGGACATCACACCTCTGATTACAAGTACACTGACACAATTTTTTTGGAATTGCACTTACCGATCAAATGAGTGAACCAAGAAACTAGGCCTTGCACCCGATAGAGAATCTATCCCTTCTTGCCATACCCGACACAAGTTTTCTATGCAATGTTCTGTGCGACTCAATTAAACCTTGATCTAAACTTTCTGAGTCCACTCATCAATTCACCATGTGGTGATTGACCAACCCATGCACTCACACATTCACACTCATGCCAATGCCCCTAAATGTAGTGCAAGACATATACAATGTAATCCATTTCCAATTACATTTCATATCATTATGTTTATTATATCCTAATGCATATAATAAACATGTCATTTTCCACAACATTCCCAAGCATGTTACATGTGATATCAACCCAATTAACATACTTGAATTCCTAAGCATTTTATCAAACACTTAGTAGGCAACATTATGTAAACACATATCATGCTCAAACAATAACTGGTTGGCACCAATTGTAATGGTTGAAAATAGGGGGCCAACTAAGAACCCTTAAGAAAGCTTTTTTTGATAAAGCAAATGATTCGTTTCGACAACTTCGGACCATATTAAGCCCACCACAGGACAAAAACGGAGATCATTCTTTATCAAATAATGATGGAGGGGGTTCATGGTCACTACTCTCGTTTATGATGAGTCTGATTCTCTATGGTATGGACATCTTTGATTGGATGGAGACAAATATATANTTGGGTGGAGACAAATATATCAAAAGTGTGTAGTGAGAGATCTTTCTAGGTGGTCATTATTTACTTAATTCGGCCCAAGCTTGATTTAGCCCCAGCAATGCCCAAAGACTCCCCTGCCTTTCTTGGTTGGACCAACCCAACTGGAAATTCCCGTCTTACTGAATTGGGAGAGCACTCAATTCCTTCCTTAGCCTAGGCAAGGCTTTAAAAAAGTTGAATACTTAGTTGATTTAACCCTTCCTACCTGCTACATCAACATTTCAAAATAGAAATAATAGAAAAAAAATCCAAATTATTGTTATCTCTTCATTATTCATCGTCATGATTTAAATTATTTAGGTATGAGTTCTATTTACACGGTCTCATAACAAATCATTCATTATTCATGAAATCCATATCAAGCCATTTCATCAAACTCAAATCATACAAGAATTGGTTTTAACATATTCTCATACCTCTTTTTCATATTTTAACTACACTAGGTGTGTGCTATACATAAGAATTCATCTTCAACACCCTACCTATTTTATATTTCAACTCTAGGTTGAAAATAAACCTAGATAGGAGGGAAACCCTACCTCTTGTGGCATATGTCTGCATAGTAGAAGCCTCAAAAACCTAAAATCAAGCCTACCAAGCTTTGTCCTAGAATTCCCGTCTTTGAGATTTTGGAGAAAGTGCAATCTTCGGTATGGGTGCTTAGCTCTCGGTTTGTAGGGCGACTTTAACTCTTTGCTTGAAGCGATCCGACGGTTGGATCTTGGTGGATCAAGGGAAGAAGGTTGGAGAACTTGAGTTTTCTCCCTTCTATCTATCTTTCTTTCTCTCACTATTTCCAAAATTTTTAGGCTAAACAATGGGGGAAAATATGATTTTTCCCTTTTAAATACCCTTGAATACTTGGCCCTCGTTGCACCACACGTCTCACTTTGATTGGTGCAATTTTATCTTGAAGTAATTAAATCTCATCTCGTGTTAGGTTGTTCATCATTTAGGAATCCAACCAATTCCTTTATTTTACGTGATATTTTACATGTCCCATATGTCACACACAACCTACTGTCAATTCATCAATTCGCCAACGATAACAACTGGTGGTTTGAATTTCACCCATCTCATTTCTAAGTTACCCATGTAACTCAAAATTCTTTGAATAAAATATAAGTTCTTCATTAACCACCATGTATATTCTAGAAATGTTGATAAATTTGTGTAAAACCCTTTTATTTGGTATTTATGAGACTCTTTAAGAAATTTATATACATCATATGATGCATGTTTCTTGGTTCCTTTTCTCTCTAAATGTGTTTTGGTGATTCGGTTTTGATTTCTTTTGCAGGCTATTGATCACATCATTAATTCTGCTGCAAAATCAAACTACATGTCTGCCGGTTAGATTAGTGTGCCAATTGTTTTTAGAGGACCAAATGGTGCTATTCCTGGTATCGGTGCCCAACACTCCAAGGTGTGGTTTTTGAGGTTTCCTTTGCATGTGGTGTTTTATCAAACATCTCTTTCATAAACATCATAACATATTTGGTGTTGTTGTTTCTTTATTTTTTGTAATGTTGAGTGAATTATTACTTTAACATTAGCTTAAAAATACAAAAGTCATGGTAGATAAGTTCTATACTCATGTGTTTTTATTGATGGCGACAAATAGATGCCATGTCCCAAATACGTGACTCATCATTAGTGAGATTACCTTGTGTATAAGCCTTGATTGACAATAATGNGAGATTTTGGAGAAAGTGCAATCTTCGGTATGGGTGCTTAGCTCTCGGTTTGTAGGGCGACTTTAACTCTTTGCTTGAAGCGATCCGACGGTTGGATCTTGGTGGATCAAGGGAAGAAGGTTGGAGAACTTGAGTTTTCTCCCTTCTATCTATCTTTCTTNTGATTCTCGTTTTAGCCTCCCCATTGGGAAAACAAAGGTATTTCCTCAAAATTTCCAAGAAATTGGTTATTTTTGTAGGTTTAGTATGGCTCTAATCTTCCTTTTGCATCATTAATGTCTACCTTTTGTTTCCAGTTAACAAATTAAGGGAGAAGAAAAGGATNAGGCTAAACAATGGGGGAAAATATGATTTTTCCCTTTTAAATACCCTTGAATACTTGGCCCTCGTTGCACCACACGTCTCACTTTGATTGGTAAAATTTTAACTTGAAGTAATTAAATCTCGTCTTGTGTTAAGTTTAGTGTATTTTTATCAAGCCAACTTTAAATTATTTTTATCATGCTTCTTCTGACATGTTGTACCTCTACTCTGGTCCACCTATCATATTATGTTAGATTTATCCAACTTGGACTTTTCATTTGACTACAATGGCAATGCCATAGTTTAAATTTCCATTCACCACACGGTTGTTCATCATTTAGGAATCCAACCAATTCCTGTATTTTACGTGATATTTTACATGTCCCATATGTCACACACAACCTACTGTCAATTCATCAATTCGCCAACAATAACAACTGGTGGTTTGAATTTCACCCATCTCATTTCTAAGTTACCCATGTAACTCAAAATTCTTTGAATAAAATATAAGTTCTTCATTAGCCACCATGTATATTCTAGAAATGTTGATAAATTTGTGTAAAACCCTTTTATTTGGTATTTATGAGACTCTTTAAGAAATTTATATACATCATATGATGCAAGTTTCTTGGTTCCTTTTCTCTCTAAATGTGTTTTGGTGATTCGGTTTTGATTTCTTTTGCAGGCTATTGATCACATCATTAATTCTGCTGCAAAATCAAACTACATGTCTGCCGGTTAGATTAGTGTGCCAATTGTTTTTAGAGGACCAAATGGTGCTATTCCTGGTATCGGTGCCCAACACTCCAAGGTGTGGTTTTTGAGGTTTCCTTTGCATGTGGTGTTTTATCAAACATCTCTTTCATAAACATCATAACATATTTGGTGTTGTTGTTTCTTTATTTTTTGTAATGTTGAGTGAATTATTACTTTAACATTAGCTTAAAAATACAAAAGTCATGGTAGATAAGTTCTATGCTCATGTGTTTTTATTGCTGGCGACAAACAGATGCCATGTCCCAAATACGTGACTCATCATTAGTGAGATTACCTTGTGTATAAGCCTTGATTGACAATAATATTCATTCCTCACTTCTTATTCCTTGGNTGGAGACAAATATATCAAAAGTGTGTAGTGAGAGATCTTTCTAGGTGGTCATTATTTACTTAATTCGGCCCAAGCTTGATTTAGCCCCAGCAATGCCCAAAGACTCCCCTGCCTTTCTTGGTTGGACCAACCCAACTGGAAATTCCCGTCTTACTGAATTGGGAGAGCACTCAATTACTTCCTTAGCCTAGGCAAGGCTTTAAAAAAGTTGAATACTTAGTTGATTTAACCCTTCCTACCTGCTACATCAACATTTCAAAATAGAAATAATAGAAAAAAAATCCAAATTATTGTTATCTCTTCATTATTCATCGTCATGATTTAAATTATTTAGGTATGAGTTCTATTTACACGGTCTCATAACAAATCATTCATTATTCATGAAATCCATATCAAGCCATTTCATCAAACTCAAATCATACAAGAATTGGTTTTAACATATTCTCATACCTCTTTTTCATATTTTAACTACACTAGGTGTGTGCTATACATAAGAATTCATCTTCAACACCCTACCTATTTTATATTTCAACTCTAGGTTGAAAATAAACCTAGATAGGAGGGAAACCCTACCTCTTGTGGCATATGTCTGCATAGTAGAAGCCTCAAAAACCTAAAATCAAGCCTACCAAGCTTTGTCCTAGAATTCCCGTCTTTGAGATTTTGGAGAAAGTGCAATCTTCGGTATGGGTGCTTAGCTCTCGGTTTGTAGGGCGACTTTAACTCTTTGCTTGAAGCGATCCGACGGTTGGATCTTGGTGGATCAAGGGAAGAAGGTTGGAGAACTTGAGTTTTCTCCCTTCTATCTATCTTTCTTTCTCTCACTATTTCCAAAATTTTTAGGCTAAACAATGGGGGAAAATATGATTTTTCCCTTTTAAATACCCTTGAATACTTGGCCCTCGTTGCACCACACGTCTCACTTTGATTGGTAAAATTTTAACTTGAAGTAATTAAATCTCGTCTTGTGTTAAGTTTAGTGTATTTTTATCAAGCCAACTTTAAATTATTTTTATCATGCTTCTTCTGACATGTTGTACCTCTACTCTGGTCCACCTATCATATTATGTTAGATTTATCCAACTTGGACTTTTCATTTGACTACAATGGCAATGCCATAGTTTAAATTTCCATTCACCACACGGTTGTTCATCATTTAGGAATCCAACCAATTCCTTTATTTTACGTGATATTTTACATGTCCCATATGTCACACACAACCTACTGTCAATTCATCAATTCGCCAACAATAACAACTGGTGGTTTGAATTTCACCCATCTCATTTCTAAGTTACCCATGTAACTCAAAATTCTTTGAATAAAATATAAGTTCTTCATTAGCCACCATGTATATTCTAGAAATGTTGATAAATTTGTGTAAAACCCTTTTATTTGGTATTTATGAGACTCTTTAAGAAATTTATATACATCATATGATGCAAGTTTCTTGGTTCCTTTTCTCTCTAAATGTGTTTTGGTGATTCGGTTTTGATTTCTTTTGCAGGCTATTGATCACATCATTAATTCTGCTGCAAAATCAAACTACATGTCTGCCGGTTAGATTAGTGTGCCAATTGTTTTTAGAGGACCAAATGGTGCTATTCCTGGTATCGGTGCCCAACACTCCAAGGTGTGGTTTTTGAGGTTTCCTTTGCATGTGGTGTTTTATCAAACATCTCTTTCATAAACATCATAACATATTTGGTGTTGTTGTTTCTTTATTTTTTGTAATGTTGAGTGAATTATTACTTTAACATTAGCTTAAAAATACAAAAGTCATGGTAGATAAGTTCTATGCTCATGTGTTTTTATTGCTGGCGACAAACAGATGCCATGTCCCAAATACGTGACTCATCATTAGTGAGATTACCTTGTGTATAAGCCTTGATTGACAATAATATTCATTCCTCACTTCTTATTCCTTGGAAAAATATTAAGTGTGAGTTTGAATATTGGTGATCTCAGTCTCGGTCAGGATAAAAATATTTTTGTTTTCTTTGTCCACATTTCCTTAAGTTTTAGGGTTTAAGTTCAAATGTTTCTATATGTGTAATTCACTATCCCATTTATTCTTCTTAGTGAACATGTTGGCATTGTGTTGATAATCTAAAATATGCTTTAAAATATCACTACTACAATCAGTGACAAAGAGAAACTTTGATGATGCCGTATTTGGAATTAGACACAGTGTTTTGAAGCATGGTACAGTTCATGTCCTGGGCTAAAAGTGTTGGCCCCTTATTCATCTGAAGATGCTTGTGGACTTTTGAAAGCAACCATCAGAGATCCTGATCATGTCGTTCTCCTTAAAAATGAGTTGTTGTGAGTATGCTAAGATGCAATTCAATTAGCTTTATTGTAATGTTTAACATTGATGGCATCTAGTATAAATTTGGTGGCTTTAGATATGGTGAATCATTCCTTGTTTCAACAGTAGTTCTTGATTCTCGTTTTAGCCTCCCCATTGGGAAAACAAAGGTATTTCCTCAAAATTTCCATGAAATTGGTTATTTTTGTAGGTTTAGTATGGCTCTAATCTTCCTTTTGCATCATTATTGTCTACCTTTTGTTTCCAGTTAACAAATTAAGGGAGAAGAAAAGGAAGTCACAATTACAATTTTTTCAAAAATAGTGGGCTATGCACTTCAGGTTCGTCTGCCAACTTATCCATGGTTTTCCAGGATATGATGTTTGTCAAACCTTTTAGTTGTTTGATAAATGAAGTTTTGTATGTATTGTGCACGAATGTCACCAATGATTAGAAAATCTATCCATATTACAAAAATAAAACCTGCTCAGGAATACGCGTTATTTTAGAGGGAACAAGCAAGCAATAGTGAAGCATTGATTTTCACAATCACAGGAATTAGAAGTTCTAAGGCTTGACATTTATGTAGTAATGACTGTTGGTTTGTTGGATTTTGAGAGGTGGTCTTCATGTTTGAGAATGAGGTCTTATTGCTGTCATGTGGNAAGATGCAATTCAATTAGCTTTATTGTAATGTTTAACATTGATGGCATCTAGTATAAATTTGGTGGCTTTAGATATGGTGAATCATTCCTTGTTTCAACAGTAGTTCTTGATTCTCGTTTTAGCCTCCCCATTGGGAAAACAAAGGTATTTCCTCAAAATTTCCATGAAATTGGTTATTTTTGTAGGTTTAGTATGGCTCTAATCTTCCTTTTGCATCATTATTGTCTACCTTTTGTTTCCAGTTAACAAATTAAGGGAGAAGAAAAGGAAGTCACAATTACAATTTTTTCAAAAATAGTGGGCTATGCACTTCAGGTTCGTCTGCCAACTTATCCATGGTTTTCCAGGATATGATGTTTGTCAAACCTTTTAGTTGTTTGATAAATGAAGTTTTGTATGTATTGTGCACGAATGTCACCAATGATTAGAAAATCTATCCATATTACAAAAATAAAACCTGCTCAGGAATACGCGTTATTTTAGAGGGAACAAGCAAGCAATAGTGAAGCATTGATTTTCACAATCACAGGAATTAGAAGTTCTAAGGCTTGACATTTATGTAGTAATGACTGTTGGTTTGTTGGATTTTGAGAGGTGGTCTTCATGTTTGAGAATGAGGTCTTATTGCTGTCATGTGGGCATGTTGTATGGAATTATCCTAGTCATCTTCATTTCCGTTTAATATGGTGGCAAAACCACATCTTATACTATGACATTGCTCAAAGACGGGCTTTGTATTCTTATCATGTACATCATGCAACTATTATTGCTTTCTAATATGGCTGATAATTAAGCCAAGCTACTCAGGCTTAGCTCGGGCTCGGTCTTGGGCTCGGTCCGTATAGGATTCAACTCGAGCTTGACTCGTGTTCTAAACGAATCGAATTTGAATAATTTTTTAGGCTTGTCTTTTAAAAGGCTCAGTTTGAGCTCATAAAGTTTAGCTCATTTATATGTAAAATAGTCAAGCTACTCTGGCTCGACTCGACTCATTTTCTAAACGAGTCGAACTTGAATAACTTTTTAAGCTCATTAACGAGCTTGACAGACTTGGCTCAAGCTTGCAAAGCTTGNTCACCAATGATTAGAAAATCTATCCATATTACAAAAATAAAACCTGCTCAGGAATACACGTTATTTTAGAGGGAACAAGCAAGCAATAGTGAAGCATTGATTTTCACAATCACAGGAAGTAGAAGTTCTAAGGCTTGACATTTATGTAGTAATGACTATTGGTTTGTTGGATTTTGAGAGGTGGTCTTCATGTTTGAGAATGAGGTCTTATTGCTGTCATGTGGGCATGTTGTATGGAATTATCCTAGTCATCTTCATTTCCGTTTAATATGGTGGCAAAACCACATCTTATACTATGACATTGCTCAAAGACGGGCTTTGTATTCTTATCATGTACATCATGCAACTATTATTGCTTTCTAATATGGCTGATAATTAAGCCAAGCTACTCAGGCTTAGCTCGGGCTCGGTCTTGGGCTCGGTCCGTATAGGACTCAACTCGAGCTTGACTTATGTTCTAAACGAATCGAATTTGAATAATTTTTTAGGCTTGTCTTTTAAAAGGCTCAGTTTGAGCTCATAAAGTTCAGCTCATTTATATGTAAAATAGTCAAGCTACTCTGGCTCGACTCGACTCATTTTCTAAACGAGTCGAACTTAAATAATTTTTTAAGCTCATTAATGAGCTTGACAGACTTGGCTCAAGCTCGCAAAGCTTAGCACGATTATCAGCCCTAGTTGTTGACTCAGTCTTTTGGAAAGTTTCTTCTTGAATTCGTGGTTTTACTGAAAAATGACCTCATTACATTGATAATTGCATTTAGTTCTTTTCTCTAGGTTGATGTTGGAAAATATAGAATATACAAAAGTTTCTTCTATTGTTCAATTTCTAAATTTCTTTCAATTATAACATATATTTTTGTCAAGTTACAATGAAACAAAATTTTCTCCCTTCATCTTGTTATTTCTACTATGCCCTTTGCCTCCATCTGGATGTAACTGTATTCCTTGATGTTTAGGCGGTTGAGATACTTGGAAAGGAAGGGATAAGCGNTAAGCCAAGCTACTCAGGCTTAGCTCGGGCTCGGTCTTGGGCTCGGTCCGTATAGGACTCAACTCGAGCTTGACTTATGTTCTAAACGAATCGAATTTGAATAATTTTTTAGGCTTGTCTTTTAAAAGGCTCAGTTTGAGCTCATAAAGTTCAGCTCATTTATATGTAAAATAGTCAAGCTACTCTGGCTCGACTCGACTCATTTTCTAAACGAGTCGAACTTAAATAATTTTTTAAGCTCATTAATGAGCTTGACAGACTTGGCTCAAGCTCGCAAAGCTTAGCACGATTATCAGCCCTAGTTGTTGACTCAGTCTTTTGGAAAGTTTCTTCTTGAATTCGTGGTTTTACTGAAAAATGACCTCATTACATTGATAATTGCATTTAGTTCTTTTCTCTAGGTTGATGTTGGAAAATATAGAATATACAAAAGTTTCTTCTATTGTTCAATTTCTAAATTTCTTTCAATTATAACATATATTTTTGTCAAGTTACAATGAAACAAAATTTTCTCCCTTCATCTTGTTATTTCTACTATGCCCTTTGCCTCCATCTGGATGTAACTGTATTCCTTGATGTTTAGGCGGCTGAGATACTTGGAAAGGAAGGGATAAGCACCAAGGTAAATCTAGGCTAATGTTTCTTTCAATTTAGATCTGAAAACTAATAGAAACTTTCGGCCTTAATTCTTATAGAGATAACCTCCATTATTATCTTTGCAGGTCATAATTTTGCGCTCAATCAGGCCACTAAATAGAGCGATATTTAATGATTCAGTCAAGAAAATTGAGAGACTGATAACTGTGGAAGAATGGTTTCCTCAACATCCTTTCTCTTAAGACACCTTATACTAATATCTATTTTGGTTGACTCATATACATACAATTCTATAATCCTACATATTATATATTATAATTTGTGTTTTCGAGGGTCATTCTGATACATTGTTGTTATATTGTGGGATCTTTTTATTTAGTGTATTGGTTGTGGAGGAAATCTTTGATTATCTTGATGCTCTGGTGGAGAGGATTGCAAAGGGCAGATGTTCCCATGCCTTATGTTGCTAATCTTGAGAGAATGGTTGTTCCACAAGTCAGTTGCCTTATCAAATTCTTTGANTCTAGGTTGATGTTGGAAAATATAGAATATACAAAAGTTTCTTCTATTGTTCAATTTCTAAATTTCTTTCAATTATAACATATATTTTTGTCAAGTTACAATGAAACAAAATTTTCTCCCTTCATCTTGTTATTTCTACTATGCCCTTTGCCTCCATCTAGATGATGTTTAGGCGGCTGAGATACTTGGAAAGGAAGGGATAAGCACCAAGGTAAATCTAGGCTAATGTTTCTTTCAATTTAGATCTGAAAACTAATAGAAACTTTCGGCCTTAATTCTTATAGAGATAACCTCCATTATTATCTTTGCAAGTCATAATTTTGCGCTCAATCAGGCCACTAGATAGAGCGATATTTAATGATTCAGTCAAGAAAATTGAGAGACTGATAACTGTGGAAGAATGGTTCCCTCAACATCCTTTCTCTTAAGACACCTTATACTAATATCTATTTTGGTTGACTCATATACATACAATTCTATAATCCTACATATTATATATTATAATTTGTGTTTTCGAGGGTCATTCTGATACATTGTTGTTATATTGTGGGATCTTTTTATTTAGTGTATTGGTTATGGAGGAAATCTTTGATTATCTTGATGCTCTGGTGGAGAGGATTGCAAAGGGCAAATGTTCCCATGCCTTATGTTGCTAATCTTGAGAGAATGGTTGTTCCACAAGTCAGTTGTCTTATCAAATTCTTTGGTTTGATGATTACTTCAGATTCTAGTGGTTTCATGTCATGGTAATAATTTTGATTTATGATTTAAAGTCCATTCTATCCTTTGGATTTTCTGTATGTTCCATAGCTATTGTAATGATCAAGTATAAATGTGATCTATTAGGTGTATTTGTAAACTGAGGGCCTGTTTGGTTTGCGTTTCAAAAAATAATATCCGAAAACAGTTTTTGAGAAGAGTTTTAAGAAAGTGGTTTTGAAATTTTTTGAGATAAAAAACTTATTTGGTTAGAAGATTTCAAAAATAATTTTACAATATAGAAAATAGTAAAACCTGTTTAGACAACCTAAATATATATTTGAACAGTAATTCAAACATAAATAAAAAATATAAAAAAATTATTTTTATATTGACAATGTCATAATATATATGTATACACACACACACACACACACACACACACACACACACACATATATATATATATAAGTGTGTATATATAATATAAATACTTATATATATATATATGTATATATACATATTTATATATATATAAGCATATATTATATATATATACTAGCAATTGCCCGTGCTTGAAGGCANGGTCATTCTGATACATTGTTGTTATATTGTGGGATCTTTTTATTTAGTGTATTGGTTATGGAGGAAATCTTTGATTATCTTGATGCTCTGGTGGAGAGGATTGCAAAGGGCAAATGTTCCCATGCCTTATGTTGCTAATCTTGAGAGAATGGTTGTTCCACAAGTCAGTTGTCTTATCAAATTCTTTGGTTTGATGATTACTTCAGATTCTAGTGGTTTCATGTCATGGTAATAATTTTGATTTATGATTTAAAGTCCATTCTATCCTTTGGATTTTCTGTATGTTCCATAGCTATTGTAATGATCAAGTATAAATGTGATCTATTAGGTGTATTTGTAAACTGAGGGCCTGTTTGGTTTGCGTTTCAAAAAATAATATCCGAAAACAGTTTTTGAGAAGAGTTTTAAGAAAGTGGTTTTGAAATTTTTTGAGATAAAAAACTTATTTGGTTAGAAGATTTCAAAAATAATTTTACAATATAGAAAATAGTAAAACCTGTTTAGACAACCTAAATATATATTTGAACAGTAATTCAAACATAAATAAAAAATATAAAAAAATTATTTTTATATTGACAATGTCATAATATATATGTATACACACACACACACACACACACACACACACACACACACATATATATATATATAAGTGTGTATATATAATATAAATACTTATATATATATATATGTATATATACATATTTATATATATATAAGCATATATTATATATATATACTAGCAATTGCCCGTGCTTGAAGGCACTATGTACCACAATAAAATCACCGGAATAAAAAATTAAATCCACAAAAATTAGCAAATGAAAAAAAAAATTACATCACCCACAAATACTTCCATAGCATCAAATTGACTATCACATCAATATTTTCAACTCTATTAAATTCTCACATAATAACTCAACACTTACAACAATGAAAATAAAACATTGCCCCTTAAATGTAATTACAATACAATGAAAATTAAAGGCCAAATTTATGCCAGATTGATAGGATTAGCGCAGNTTTGAGATAAAAAACTTATTTGGTTAGAAGATTTCAAAAATAATTTTACAATATAGAAAATAGTAAAACCTGTTTAGACAGCCTAAATATATATTTGAACAGTAATTCAAACATAAATAAAAAATATAAAAAAGTTATTTTTATATTGACAATGTCATAATATATATGTATACACACACACACACACACACACACACATATATATATACATATTTATATATATAAGCATATATTATATATATATATATACTAGCAATTGCCCTATGTACCACAATAAAATCACCGGAATAAAAAATTAAATCCACAAAAATTAGCAAATGAAAAAAAAAATTACATCACCCACAAATACTTCCATAGCATCAAATTGACTATCACATCAATATTTTCAACTCTATTAAATTCTCACATAATAACTCAACACTCACAACAATGAAAATAAAACATTGCCCCTTAAATGGAATTACAATACAATGAAAATTAAAGGCCAAATTTATGCCAGATTGATAGGATTAGTGCAANTCTATTAAATTCTCACATAATAACTCAACACTTACAACAATGAAAATAAAACATTGCCCCTTAAATGTAATTACAATACAATGAAAATTAAAGGCCAAATTTATGCCAGATTGATAGGATTAGCGCAGCTACCACCTCAAATTTTGCCGTGAATTGCCAAGTAATTTGACTCTTGCACTTCGTTCATCTTCGAGTCCATTACTTTTCAATCTTGGAGGAAAACAAACAACTCAAATCATGGAAATAAGCAATAGATGAGGTGGCGACCTCTCCTTAGGGTCATCCAACCCATCCCTCAATTAGCATGAGAGTAGTGACTTCTACCGCTTAATTGATGCCCCAAAAAAATCCATTGGATAGTGAAAACAAATCATATCTTCACAAAGATGATAGGAGATCCTACCAATCCACTCCTCTATTAGTTCTATTTTCAAACAAAAATTAGGTACAATATCAAGATCTTGCATAACATATAATTCCTTAACTTGAACATAGGAAAGGGCATAGACTATTTTCCAAATAAAAAAAATAGCTCTCTTTTTCCAAAAAATTAATACCGAAATAAACATCAAAACTTAGAACCCAATTGTTATTTCAAACATTCAAAATGCAATGCCTATGGAAAAAAAAAACCAATAGCATACGAGAGTGTAGAGACCCAAAATAATATACATAAATCAANCAAAAAATTAATACCGAAATAAACATCAAAACTTAGAACCCAATTGTTATTTCAAACATTCGAAATGCAATGCCTACGGAAAAAAAAAACCAATAGCATACGAGAGTGTAGAGACCCAAAATTATATACATAAATCAAAGTTGAGAAAATAAAAAAAAAAAAAAAATCAATGAGTCAAACAATCCAAGTGGGTGTGTTGTGTGTTAGCAGAGACTGGAGGTGTATTTGTGTGTGCTGTGAGGGATTTTGAGTGTGAGGGATGGGAGAATAAAAAGATGTTAGGTGTGAAGAGAGATGCCTTCGTTGTCCTGGTTTTGGGTGTGGGTGGGTGGGTGCGTTGTGTGTGTGTGTGGGAAACAGAGAAAGGGCATACCTTGTCGCTTGGGGTGAATCGTTCGTCATCGGTGGTGGCTCGCTTCATTGTCGTTGGTCTGGGTAGAGTGAGAAGAGATGGCGAAGAGAGATTCGAGGGTAGGAGAGAGGAAGAGAGTTGGCAGACATCAGAGAAAAAAGAAGAAAAAGGGTGAGGGTTTACTGATTTTTGGGTAGAGTGCCTAACAGAGGTTAGGGATTTGATTTTGGGGGATGGATTTTAGTGGCTGTGAGAGAGAGGGAAGAATGAGACAGAGGAGTTTTAGGGGAGCCTGAGATTTGGGGTAAAATTAGGGCAGGAATTGAGGGTGAAAAATTAGAGCTAATTTGCTCTTGGAAGTAAAATCCTTGAGGCGATAAGTTGGAGGGCTTCAAAAGGAAGGCACAACGGTATTTCGAATTCACCTCCTCCAATTAGGAAAGAACTGATTTTCCGAATCTATATCACTACGAACAAAGAGAATAAGTGAGAGATTAGATTCACTATTTGAAATATTATAGATTGGAAAATAAATTATAGATGAAGAGAATGTGATTGAGGGCTTGATTTTGGGGGAATTAAAAATAGAAATTATGGTGAGCGGGAAACTTTTTTTCATTAATGAATCTCGTGCATCGGATCAAAAATTTTGAGATAATCTGAGACGTAAATAGCTTAAGATAGTTTTAGATAGCATTGTCTGNAATCTCGTGCATCGGATCAAAAATTTTGAGATAATCTGAGATGTAAATAGCTTAAGATAGTTTTAGATAGCATTGTTCATTGGATGATATCTTTTTTAGTCACAAAACGATCCAAACCGCTCTTTGTCTCTTGGATTCAAAATCGTTCTACTTTAT